TAATTTTCTGTTTTGTTTTATTCTTGGATCGGGCTTTAAAGGGTTAATTTGAAAAGGGAAATTAGATTGTCTGTTGGTGTAAGGAGCATTTTTTTCCCTTAAAATTCGATAATTACATATTTTGTAGTGTTTTCTTTTTAATTTAAAAAAAAAAAATCTTTGTATTCCATTAGTAAATTGTCTTATCTGCTCAAATCCAGGGAAAATACACTTATTACACATAGATTTAAATTTCTGCAGCATCAAAAGACTTTAAAACTTCCAGGAAAGATTCAAGGTGTTTGAAGCCTTTTTTTAAAGGCACCATAAACACAACTTGATGAAGAAAACATCACAGGATAGTTTGGAAATTGGTTTTGGAAAAAAACCATTGATTTCCTAATGGTTTCGGATGTTTTGGATCCAGCGTGAGCTGGAATAAAAGAACCGTAGACATCATGGAGCAACATGGACCCTAACAGGTGAATCAATGCATACAGCGCTCACCTGCTGTAAATCAAAATCTCCACAGACATGCGGAGGAGAGAAGAGAACTCTAAACCTGACACCATCTCTAATCTGATGATCTGCTCTGGTTTAAATCCAAACCATCTACTAAATCTCAAAGTAAGATCAGACCATCTTTTTTGCAATCTTCAAATACATAGATAGAGCTCGTCTTTCTCTACCTCCAGTTTTAAGTTAGTGATCATTAAATTGATGCATAAATGATGGAATGTAAATCCAAATATGATGAGGGTTAATGAAGCCTAATATTATCTAATTAGAGCAGAGGTGTGAAGGTTTCACACTGCTGAGAACTGATGAGTCTGAAAGGTGTCGCTTCACACCTCGGTGGTGGGAAGCAGGAGCCTCGCTCTCTCCCCATCATCCTACTCTTCTTTACGGAGAATCCTGGTAGCTGGATCTGACTTTTCCTAATGAATGATAGTTTGACTCATAGAGGTAGTCGTATTGGACTAACATGAAATGAGACGTTTGTTTGCAGAGCAGAGCTCATTTTTTTCACCTGAAATGCAGCTTTCTTATTTAAAAATGAATATATTCATCCAGCTCCATTTCTGAACACAGTTCTTTAATTCCACATGGTTTAAAGAAATCTTTTTCATAATAAATTTAGACTCATTTGTAATTTTTTGAGGATTAACCATTTAGTTTGGATTCATGCAGACAATTAGAAATCAGTTTCTAAAACTGCTTCAAGAGACCAAAAACAAATCTAAGAATAAAAATGAATATTGAGAGATTTTATGTTTCTATACTAAGGATCATAACTGATATAGAGCTGTGTCACACTGAGGGTCTATTTCTTCTCTCTTATTGTAAGAAAACTTCCAAATGGTTGTTTTCTGCATTCTGACAACTTGTTTCTATTGTCTGTGCCTGGGGAGTGTTGGCCTAGTGCAGAGGTCACAGATTAGCGGATCCAGACCCACCTGCTGGCTAATCCAGACCCAACCTGATTTAAACATGTATAAATTACTGCATATTATTGGACGACAGTGTCTAACTTCCCTTGCTCCTCTTCTCCTGTTAATACGGTAAAGCCCTGGGGAGCGTCCGGCTCCAGGCTGCACGTGATCCAAATGAGCCAATGAGCTGTCAGTCTGGGTTGCTGCTGCTGCTACTTTTAGACACAGCAGGCAAACCTGTGGCAAGCCGGGCGATGGGAAAGAAGGAGAAGACCATGAGAAAAAGAGAGCAGAGAAAGTGTGGACTGCTGGAAGAACTGCGGTGAACTGGTGAAAGAAAAGTGAAATGGCGTGCTCAAAGATGACCCTGCACATTTAGAGGATGTTTGGCTCAACCTGCTGCTGTGAAGCAGGATTCTCCACCATGAACAGAATCAACAATAAATCTGGATCCAGGCTCAAAATGAGCTCCTTGATATGTGCTTGAGAATGGCTTAGTCTCCGGTTAAACCCAGGTTTAAAGCCTTGCAGGGCAGCCTAAAACTCATTAAGACAGAAAAAAAAAAGAAGGTAAAAAACGGTAAGTTCAGGTGTTTTATAGAAGATGTGAATCAGGAAACTGTCAATATACCAAACTGAATGAATGTTGTTCTCTACTTAAAAAAACACATTAGATTTTAAAATATAAAAATAATCCTTTTTTTAAAATATTTTTTTATTTCAAAAGTCAAAGTATAACATTGATGCATAAACACCTCATTTTATTTCAGTGTTATATTCTGTTTAAAACAACAGATTATAATAAAAAATGTTTCCGGACCTTTACTAGTTGTTGATTGTCTTTATTTGGACCCGCTGATTTTTAATTGCTTACCCCTGACCTATTGGTTAGAGAACTGCGCTTGGACCTTGTGAAGGTTGCAAGGACCCAGTTGGATCCCCACAGCCTCCACTCTGGGTCTCTGAGCAAGACCCTTAACCCCACACTGCTCCCCAGGCGCCGCCCAATTTTTGACCCATCCCAAGGAGATGGGTCAAAAAGGAATTTCCATTGTGGGACAATAGGGAGATTTACATTTAAGTTTTACAAAGAATTGCAAAACATCTTCCAGTTTGCAGCTTTTTCTGGTTGGAATCAACTGCAGAGGATTAAAGTTGAAGGAAATTGGTTATTTTAATGTCTTTAATTAGTTGGTACATTTTTCAAATGCTTTAATATTAAGTGATGTTTTAGTTCTATTTTATATACATGGTTGTGTTTGTTTTTTTACATTTATTTTACTATAGATTTTGCATATTAACTGGTTTAGATATTGGTAGTTTTGATTTGTAATTAATGGTTTGCTGTTAATAGGTTTGCCCAGATCCCTCTTTTAAAAGACATTTGTAATCTCAGTGAGACATACCTGGGGAAATAAAGGTTACATGCATACAGAGTGAACCAGAGCTGAACCTGCAAGTCGACCCCGTCAGGCATCCTGACCGAGGTGAGGCTGTGGGAGCCTGGCTGGGAGTTTGGCACCTCTGAGTGGACGCCCACCCACAGCAGCCTCACAGGCTGGGCTGCCTGCCACCTGTCTGGGCCTCCTCAGTTACATCAACCCCACTGTGACCTCTAAGGCTCCTGCTGCGCTTGCAAAGATCAACAGAAATGGTGCATTTGATTAATTCAGATTATGTGTAATGACAAAAAAAGCTGAAAGCTACTTAATGAACTGATAGGATATCATAGATTTTTTTAATAATCATTTAGGAAAAGTGATCTAACTAAGAGATGAGAAAAATTAAAAGCATGACTGCAACAAATAAGATACACTGTAACTCACATTTTCTTGAAATTAAGTAAAATAAGACAATTGCCAATTGAAGAAGATAATTCATGTTTAACATTTAAAAAACAATCTCCATTATCTTATTTCAAGAGCATAATATCTAATTATCTTATTTTTAAGGGGAAAAATACTCTATCAGCAGATCATATGCTTTACCTGCTTAAATTAAGGGAATATACGCTTATTTGCAAGCAGTTTTTTTTTTATTGTCATCACACTCTCCCAAGTATAGAGCAACAAAATTCACTCTCTACATTTAACCCATCCCTTGGGGAGAAGTGGGCTGCCATTTGCAGTGTAGGGATAAGGGTCTTTCTCAGGGACCATGTGTGGCAGTGGGGCTCAAACTCACAAACTCAGGATCCTAAGCCCTATTCCCTAACCACCTCTGCATTTAACCCATCCCCTTGGGGAGCATTGGGCTGCCACTGTGCGGCGCCCGGGTAGCAGTGTGGGGTTAAGGGCTTTCTTCTCGCGCCTGTGTTCTAGCCACTAGTCTAACACTCCCCCACATTTCCAATTTTTCGCTATAGATGAGTATCTACTATAAGTTAATGGAACGGTACGCCATTGAAAAAGCAAAATGAATGAAATAAAACAACATTTTAACTATTCCAAAGCCTGGTAAGGAGAAATCCACCTTAAGAGTAATCCGTTATGCTCCATGTGAACGCGACGATCATGTGGAAGAAGGTGCTCTGTACAGATGGAACCAGAATTCAACTTCATGTGAACCTGATTTAAGAAGAACAATAACAACAAAAAATAGACCCAAATTTAAATGGGATTATCAAAATGCTGATCGACACCTATAAGGGTAAAAAACAAAGAATCTTTACTCTATAAATATCTGTTAGAAAATAGAGGCACTAATACATTGAATATTAAAACAAAATGGGAAAGGGAATTTGATATTCTAATAACCGACGACGGCTGGCTGAATATTTGGAAAACCCAAACTACAACATCCTCTTCCAGAATCTGGAGAGAACATTGTTGGAAGAATATAATCAGATTTTATATAACACCCAAAATTACTATTAATTCAAATCTAGAGCTCAGCCATGCTGGAGAGATTGTGGAGAATTTAATGTTAATCACGCGCACATTTTCTGGCTTTGTCCTAAAATTACTCAGTTCTGGAACAAAATACACAGTAAGATTGTAACAATACTGGGTTACTCAATACCCAAGTCCGGTCTGGTGTTAGATCTTGGTCTTTTGGACAATATCGTATTTAATAATGATTGTTATTTGTTAAAAATTCTGTTGGTGGCAGCTAAAAAGGTGATAACCAGGAGGTGGTGCAAATCTGAACCTCCTACCACAAAGGAGTGGATACAGACTGTGATCTCACTATTTGAGATGGAGCTTCTATCACATAGGCTGAGGACGCAGGAGCAGCTATGCTTAGACAAATGGAAAAAAATGGACAAACTTCACATCAACGATACCGGACTAATTCTGGAAATGGATGGTCTCCATGTGTTTTGAGTTACTAAAATACGAGTCTGTTGTATGATTTTTGCTTCGATTGTTCTGTACTTTTTGTCTATTATAATTTCTATGTAATGTTTGTTAATAACGACCAAAATAAAAATAAAGTTATAAAAAAAAAGAAAAAAAAAAAGATGAACAATAACTCTGGCACATAACCCTGATTGACCAAGGAAACATCATGCTAGGTGGACGCTTCCCGTCCTTAGAGGCATGGAAGCGGGTCAGAGCTGATGGAAAGAAGGATGAAGCCAAACTGGAAAAAAACAACAAAACCAGTAGAATCTGCAAGAGATGAAGGTGCTGAGGAGGTCCTACCTAGAGGACAATGAGTTTGACACATGGAGACACTTTAAAATACCAACAACTGATATTTCTCTTGTGCCATTACTTTTTCAAATAAAATCCTACTGTATGAAAGGAAGGAAAACCAAGGCACATTTATTTGTTTATTGCAGTTCATTACAAAGAATTAAACAATAAAACAGAAGAAAAATAAAACCAAGTAAAGATAAAAATGTGATAAAAGTAGGTGGTAAAACAAATGACAGTTTGACCACAACTTTAAACTAATAACACCTCAGTTAAAAGTTTAACTTCAACAGTCAGGCAGTCTAATCAAATGTTTTTTTTCTTTATTAATAAAGAAATAATCTAATGATATCTTGCTTTCGCAAAGATAGATTGACTGCCTGCATTTGTGTTTTAAATAATATGGCTTATAAAGCTTATAGAGATCCTGGTACTGACAGCTCAGTTTTCCTTGTTCCAATGAGGTCAGAGCTACTTTGAAGTGATCAGAATAAAACTATAAAAAAAACATCATCTTTTTTTTTTTTTTTTTTTTTAGCAGAGTGATGTATTTTTGTCAGCTGCATTGTGTTATTGTGTGCACACATATTTCAGTGGGTGGGGGGGTGGAGGCAGGTCCGGGGAAACATTTTGCACCCTAGGTGTGAAACATTGCTGGCACTGGAAGGTCAGCCAGGGGTGGACAGAAACATTTCAACCCAGTGTAAAAATGCAAGATTTGCTGAATGATCTGAACAAATAATTCCAGCAATAAAACTAAAACGGTTTCCTCAGAATAAGAATAGAAAGATGATTTTAAAAGTTTTTTCATAAACTGTAAATATATTTTTTTGGTCATACGACTGTAAGAAAATTAAAATCAAACACTCCCATAGACCTAATGTCCAACAAACCAAACCAGCAGACAGATTTCAGCAGATATATTTGAATTGTAGGAGAACTTTGCTGCTTTGCTGCCTGATAACTTGTTGGACAGATGAGCTGGGTGTTTTTCACACCTCAGGCAGAGTAAACACTTCTTCCTACTACCGGTACTTGCTCACACTTTGGTGCTGCCATGTTTTTACAAGTCCTCATCCCACAACTACCTCTGACATGGGAAGGAACATGCTCTGCTCCCTGTGAGCCATCTTTAAAAATATCAGGTGCTCTAAGGAAATAGCTGTTTAGATGTTTGATTAAAACTAAATCTTAGAAAAGATTTTTTTTTCTAAAGGATAGTTTAACTGAAGAAATACATTCAAGTTAAACTGGGTAATTGTATGAAAGCGTTTCTGTGTTAAGATTATTTTAAGATAAGATTTAAAAAATGCAGTTCAACAGATTTTAAAATGTAATAAAATAGCCAAACAGAAAATCTAATGAAGGAAGTTATTGGATTTCACGATAAACTGAAGCTAAAGTATTTATGTTAAGACAGTGATTTTCACATCTTTTATTACAAGCCAATTTAATATAATCAAGTTTTTGAAGTATTCTTTCAGTTTAAGACAGTAGTTCTAAGGTAGCTTTAATTAAACCTTCAATTAAGAAACCTTCTCTTAATTCAAATGATTTGATCAGATTTCTTTCTTTCTTGACTATAAGTGAGGGCTTAGACAATAATGAGACAATAATGAACTTTTTGAAGAGTTTCAGTCTGGCTTTAGAGCTCATCATAGCACTGAAAAAGCTCTGGTGAAAGTCACTAATGATATTCTCATGGCCTCAGATAATGGACTTGTATCTGTAATGTTATAAATCTTTCTCATGCTCCAGGGTTACCTGTGGAGTACCACAGGGATCAGTGCTAGGACTAATTCTCTTTACTATATATATGCTCTTAATCGGTGGGATTATTAGACAGCATGGGATTAATTTTCCACTGTTATGCTGATGATACCCAGCTATATCTGTCTATAATCCAGATGAAGCTAACCCATTACATAGATTACAGGCATGTCTGAAGACAGAAAAACCTGGATGACTCTTAATTTTCTGCTTCTGAATGCAGACAAAACAGAAGTTCTAGTCTTTGAAAAAGAAGCTGATTCAGAGCTCAGATAATAAAATAAAATAAAACTTTAGTGTTATATTTGATTAGGACCTGTCATTTAAGTCGCATAAATAGGAGTTTCAGGAAATTCCTTCTTTCATCTGCAGAATATTGCTAAAATGAGAAATCTCCTGTCCAGGGGTGATGCTGAGAAACTAGTCCATGCATTTGTTACTTCAAGGCTGGACTATTGTAATTCTTTACTATCAGGAAGTCCACAAACTGTAGTTAAAAGCCTTCAGCTGATCCAAAATGCTGCAGCCAGAGTTCTGATGAAAATGAAAAAGAGAGATCATATCTCTCCTATCCTGGCTTCTCTTCATTGGCTTCCTGTTAAATCCAGAATAGAATTTAAAATCCTCCTTCTCACATATAAAGCCTTAAATGGCCAAGCTCCATCTGATATCAGAGATCTGATTGTTCCTTATGTTCCTAACAGAGCACTTCGCTCTCAATCTGCAGGTTTACTAGTGGTTCCTAGAATTTCTAAAAGTAGAATGGGAGGCAGATCTTTTAGTTCTCAGGCTCCTCTCCTGTGGAACCAACTACCAGTTTTAGTCTGTGAGGCAGACACCCTGTCTACTTTTAAGGCTAGGCTTAAAACTTTCCTTTTTGATAAAGCTTCTAGTTAGAGTGGCTCAGGTTATCCTGATCTATCTCTATAGTTCTGCTGCTATAGGCTTAGACTGCTGGAGGACATAGGGACCTTTTTCATCATTCTGCTTCATTCTCTGTTCTCCCAGTCTATAATAATTCTTAGTTTAATGTCTAACAATATTTCTCTCTGCTTTTTCTCATAGTAGGTCTGTTCCTGTCTGGCTTTGACACCATCCTGGAGAGAAATATCAGCTGAGCTGCTGCCATCAACACCTTACTCTCGTTTCTGTCCTACAGCTGTAGCCATAGCTTTGGGCTTAGCTTTCACTGTGTGTTCTCGTTTATCGCTTTTGGCTTGAAAACTGTCTCAGAGCTTGTCTGCTTAACTGTTCCTTTCCTAGACAGCCACCTGTGGAGCCAGTCTAACGTTAAACTTTCTAACATGGCAAGTTTTCATTGATCAGTGCTTCTGTGTTTGTTTTGCATGTTCGTACGTCTGCTACTGTGTCCTGAAACTCCCGGTCTGCAGTTGGCCGCTCATACTGAGCCCGGTTTTACTGGAGGTTTCTATTAACCATCACTGCATGCACGCTCAGTGTGAGGCATTGCTGCAGAGTCAATGGCAGTGCAAGAGAACATGTCCATCCAGGAGGAGTCAATACTGAAAACCTGTAAGGAGCTTTGAGATGCCATGTGTTGTGAATTGGCACTAAATAAAAAAATGGAAGTTGCCAACAACAGGATAGAGGTAAACTGGTTAAATTCATTTCAGTTTAATTTAAAAGTTTCTTTTATTTTGTGGGAACCTTTTTATTCAATTCTTTTAACTTGAATTTTAAAATAAAGAGAAAAACAGAGGAACTGACAATGAAACAGTAGATTATTCACGTTCATTAACACTTCAGCAGAGTTAAGAACAGGATTTCAGTGCTGTTAGCTTTAAGGTTTGTTTCCTTATAGGAACATTCTCATTGTTCAGATACGTGGTTTAACTGAGGGTCAGAGCAGCTTTCGTCAACCTCTGGACCAGAGCTTTATTTTCAGTTGAAGGATTGCCACCGTTATGCAGAACTGCATCAGTCCCTGAGTTTAACATACTGCATGCACAACAGCTGCATGTGCTTCCTGTAAACTTTTAATCCCCTTATTTTAAACATAGGTATCTGTGCGTTATCATTTCATTTATGTTGCATTATACCTTTAAAGGCAGCACTTGAATTTTAACCTCAAGGCAGGTTAGTAGATTTTGGATATTATAAACAAACAAATCTGTATGACTGGTCACCTCTCATGTTTATCTCAAGACAAAACAAAACATACAAATTAGAGCTAAAACGACAGATTTAAATAAAATTAGCAAACAATACAAAAAACTGCAAAACAAAAGAAGATCTCTAAAGGTTTCATATAATGTTGAACACAAATTGAGAAAAAAAAATGAAAGAAAAGCCGTAAAATAATCTAAACTGACATTCATAATCTTTCTTTGGTCTTTATCCCACAGCTTCTAGTCATAAAGATTAAACTTGGACGATGATAAAGTAAATAATCAAGTTTTACTTCTTTGAAATGATGAAATAAAGAAAAAAAATTAAAAACTTTGCTGATTATAGATTCACTTGGAAACAAAAACATATTCAAGTTAATGGACGCTGACTGGGGGGACAGAGAGAATAATCAGTTAAACGGAAATAAAAACCAAACAGTATGTGCTTGTGATCGGATGTAGGCTCAAACATGGAAAACCTGAAAGATGAAGAGAAGTCCTAAGTGGGGGCCGCCACGGAGCCCTTCTTGTCACTGAAGAAACTCCTTAGAAGCATGACTTGGCCGATGCCGATGACGAACAACAGGATGGTTTCTCCGATCGACCAGTACGTCACGCGCTCAAAGAGATTCTCTGCTTTAGTGCGGTCCTGGGCTTCTCTTAGCCGGTACCACGTCTGTGATTCAGCCACCACCTTCAGGACCTCATGGATGGCGACGCAGGAAGACTCCAGCTGATAGAGGAATATAATAAAATTAAGATCAGAAAAAAATGATATTTCATCATTCTGTCAGACCAGCATACCCATAGTCAATATACGTCAGACGTCAGATTTGCAAACGTCTGACACTATATGTGGAAGGAAGTCTACTAGGCTACCTTTTTATGCGTGATATAATAAACTGAAGAGTTGTAGTTGAAGGTAAACACACAAACTTACCCAAAAAGCACACCGAAAGATAAGTAGGATAGTTTATTTATGTGTGATAAAAAAAACTTTTAGTCTGAGGTAAACAGAATTTAACGCTAAACTGCTTTAAACACAAACAGCCCTGCTTTCTGTGTTCGCTACTTCACACCCTGACGTAGCAGCTAACCCGCACAATGACAGCCCACTGCGCCCCAAGGGGATGGGTTAAATGCAGAGAGTTAATTTCATTGCTCTGTACTTGTGACAGTGTAATGACAATAAAGTTGCATTTCATTTTATTCTATAATTAACTATTAGCAAGTTAGCAGACTCCAGCATTAGAAATTCTGCTTTGCTTAACAAGTTCCTGCAGAATAAGACTTTAAATCAAACTAGGGCTGCAACTAGCGATTATTTTGAAAATCGACCACTGTCAATTATTTTTCCGATTAATCGATTAATAATCAGATCGCCAATTGTTCCTTAAATGTTTTAGTAAATTAAATCAGAATCAGACATACTATAATAATCAATAATAATTGAATAATAAATTACAGTAAACCAGGTGAAACTAAAACGTTTCCACATGAGGAGTTCTGCATAGAGAAAATTGACAGACTAAAATGTTTTTTTTTTGTGTTTTTTTATCGTAAATGCATAATGTTGACTTTTTTTGATATAATTACTGCTTTAAGTGGGTGGCTCTGTCAGCTAAAGGCATGTTTTAGAGTCTCTATACTCCAGTTAACGATTATTCCATTACTAAATTAGTTGATGACTATTTCAACAATCGATTAACCCGATTAACTTCAGCTCTAAATCAAAACCAACATTTTCCCTTATCTGATGTAGGATTTGGTCTTCAGATATTAACCTTAAAATGTGGTCCAAATGGGAGTTTTATGCCTCATCCTGTATTTTGGTTTTGTTAAATCATGATCAAGTTGCCAATAAACCTGCAAAGATTTAAAATTTAAAGTTGTGGTAAACTAAGAGTTTCTACTAAACAGTTCCAGGAAGTAACGACTGCACGCATCACATCGCTGTACCTTCATATAAACAGTGGAACAAATGTGTGGAAATACTCATTTAATGGACACATCAAAAGAGCTTTGTCTCCATCTAGTGGACTTCACCCATTGCTGCAGTCACACAGGGTTCTCAGCATCTCACATTAACAAACCCAAACAGACTTTGTTATAAGGAACTATCAAATATGTTGTAAGAGTTTTATTATCTTAAAAAAAGAAATGCAACGTAGCCTACTTCCTTGTTTATCGCCTGCATAGATGCTCAGTAAAGTACCTCTATTATTGGATATACAAACAAAAGACTTATTTTACAAACTAACTGAGCAAAAGCATAAGTCATAAATAACAGACAACATGTCAGCAGGATGCGCTCTTCTTTAGGAACAACTTTGTTGCAACTAGAGGGAACTACTGCCGTTTACATTTGTAAAAAAAAAAATATAAATAAATGTGACTTTAATAAATCCTTCAGAGAATAAATAAATGTTGCTGAATCTCAGGGAACCACATGAAGCCCAACATTAGAAAACTTAGAAAAACTTGTTAATAAAAAAAAGCTTTGAGAGTAATTTTTTATTTTTTCTTCCAATTATTTATTTATTTATTTTTTCAGTTTTCTTTCAAATCTTATTTTTCTTAGTTTTATTATTCAGGACAGAATATGCATTTCTATTGGCCAGCATGAATTTTAGCAAAAAATAGATACAAAATGTCACTCTCAGATGTTTCTATTTCATTAGGACATTTTCTTTTCTGCATTGGATTTTCTTTTTCTTTAATTAATAATAAAACATGTTTTTGCTTGCATCAATAATGGAGTAATATTTACTTTATAAATAATCAGGGGACGGATACGTCCAATCAGAGCCATTTTCTTAAAAATGGACACACAGGTCCACTGATAAAGACTAGCAGCTGTTTTAGAAACATGGTTCTAAACGGTAAAAACTATAAATTCATTATTTGTTACAACCTTCTAAAATCATATACCCTCTACTATCAACTTTATAATTATGTACCTGGTCAGCTGCCTTAAATCCCTATAAAATACAGTGAAGTTTGTGTTTCTAATGGGATGACATGAGGAACTGGTTTATAAACAATAATTTCCTTCTGTTTGTGTCTCTGAGGTTTTCTAGCCTCAGCCTCCTGTGACTCGGTCCTGTTGGAAGGTGAAGTTTAGTCTTCTGTGGATTAGCTTCTGGGTTCCTCAGACTTACCTGAGTCAGCGCTGTGCTCCTGCTCATGTTCTCCAGGAGAGGTTGCTCCTCTCCGTGCCGAAAGTCCATGTACACGACTTTATGCGTGAAAGTGGAAAACTCATTGCTGAAGCAGACCTTGTAGACTCCCTCCATGGCCGTGGTGTGAGAGAAGCTGTCGTACTGCTTCTTCCTTTCATTATACAGGACGTTGTCGAAGGGATCGGTGACAAAACAATCCACGTCATAGTTGCCTCCTGCAATAACCTGAAAATAAAATCCATAAATATTGGTTTGGAAAAACCCAAATGACGATAAAGACCACCACATCCTGATCTCTGGGAATAGATAATCCTCTCCTTTGAATGCCAGCAAAAAGCTGCTAACCATTTAGCTCCAAAAGCAGTAGTTTTATGTTTTAGATGCTTCAAAAAGCTGAATCACCTCCTCAGCATTTGTTCAACAGGAACCTGCTTTATGGATCAATGTATTTGATCAAAGCAACCTTGGACACAACTGAGATCTGTCNAAAAAAAAATATAAATAAATGTGACTTTAATAAATCCTTCAGAGACTAAATAAATGTTGCTGAATCTCAGGGAACCACATGAAGCCCAACATTAGAAAACTTAGAAAAACTTGTTAATAAAAAAAAGCTTTGAGAGTAATTTTTTATTTTTTCTTCCAATTATTTATTTATTTATTTTTTCAGTTTTCTTTCAAATCTTATTTTTCTTAGTTTTATTATTCAGGACAGAATATGCATTTCTATTGGCCAGCATGAATTTTAGCAAAAAATAGATACAAAATGTCACTCTCAGATGTTTCTATTTCATTAGGACATTTTCTTTTCTGCATTGGATTTTCTTTTTCTTTAATTAATAATAAAACATGTTTTTGCTTGCATCAATAATGGAGTAATATTTACTTTATAAATAATCAGGGGACGGATACGTCCAATCAGAGCCATTTTCTTAAAAATGGACACACAGGTCCACTGATAAAGACTAGCAGCTGTTTTAGAAACATGGTTCTAAACGGTAAAAACTATAAATTCATTATTTGTTACAACCTTCTAAAATCATATACCCTCTACTATCAACTTTATAATTATGTACCTGGTCAGCTGCCTTAAATCCCTATAAAATACAGTGAAGTTTGTGTTTCTAATGGGATGACATGAGGAACTGGTTTATAAACAATAATTTCCTTCTGTTTGTGTCTCTGAGGTTTTCTAGCCTCAGCCTCCTGTGACTCGGTCCTGTTGGAAGGTGAAGTTTAGTCTTCTGTGGATTAGCTTCTGGGTTCCTCAGACTTACCTGAGTCAGCGCTGTGCTCCTGCTCATGTTCTCCAGGAGAGGTTGCTCCTCTCCGTGCCGAAAGTCCATGTACACGACTTTATGCGTGAAAGTGGAAAACTCGTTGCTGAAGCAGACCTTGTAGACTCCCTCCATGGCCGTGGTGTGAGAGAAGCTGTCGTACTGCTTCTTCCTTTCATTATACAGGACGTTGTCGAAGGGATCGGTGACAAAACAATCCACGTCATAGTTGCCTCCTGCAATAACCTGAAAATAAAATCCATAAATATTGGTTTGGAAAAACCCAAATGACGATAAAGACCACCACATCCTGATCTCTGGGAATAGATAATCCTCTCCTTTGAATGCCAGCAAAAAGCTGCTAACCATTTAGCTCCAAAAGCAGTAGTTTTATGTTTTAGATGCTTCAAAAAGCTGAATCACCTCCTCAGCATTTGTTCAACAGGAACCTGCTTTATGGATCAATGCATTTGATCAAGGCATGTCAAACGACGGATAACCTTGGACACAACTGAGATCTGTCTACTGTCACAGACTCTGCATCACACTGATACCAAACAGAAAACACGGCACATTTGCACCGTATATTTTAATATTGCTCCAAACCTCCATATTAATGCATTTTTTTGCACCATGTTTTTTTTTCCCCCCACACTGTTAAATTTGGTCACTGCTGCACTTTATGGAATTTTAATGTTAATTTACTGTCTGGAAAGCATGCTACTGTTGTGCTTTCTCCAGCGTCGCGCAGCTTTGTCGTCACGCCATCAAAACCCCGCCCGCTTTGCAAAAGTTCAAAACACATCTCTGTGTTGTGATTGGCCCGCCAGTTCTTCAGTTGTACCCGCGGGTCCCTGACGGGTCACCCGCTAAAATGCTCTTTTGCGGGTGAATGTTCTATTAATCAGGCACTGGGGTCACCCTTAAAGCCCTGCCGGCAGTGTGGGCTTCCCTCCAAAAAGGCCACAGTCAGTGCATACACGTCTGCTGCAGTGTTAATGGCGCTGTTCTGCAGCGCAGCGTACTATAGCCTAATACTTGATGTGTTAACGGGTCGGGTTGCGGGTTAAATATCAACGGGTCGGGTCGGGTTCGGATTTGAATTGAAGATATCCGCGGGTGACGGGTCGGGTTCGGTAGTCATCCTAACGGGTTCGGGTGGGTGCGGGTTGGTAAAACTCGACCCGTGCAGGACTCTAGCCTGGGGCATTGATCGAGGCTAGACCAACTCGCAGGCAAAAATAATTTTGGCCGCTGGCGGGTGGAGCTAGTTTATTAGGCTAGCAAAATCGCATAATGCACCACAACAATTATCCTTCCATCTTCTAACACGCTTAATCCCAAGTGGGGTGCGAGGGGTGCTGGTGCCCATCTCGAGCTGTCACTGGGCAAGAGGCGGGGTCCACCCTGGACAGGACGCCAGTATATCTCAGGGCAAACAGGACAAACAACCACTTACGCACAGACAAGGAGAATTTAGAGAAGCCAATTAACCACACAGTTTTCATTTTTTTGGACTGTGTGAGGAAGCCGGAGTACCCGGAGAGAACCCACTCATGCTCAGGGAGAACATGCAAACTCCATGCAGAAAGACCCCGGGCCAGGAATCGAACCCAGAACCTTCTTGCTGCAGCAACAGATTTTTGCTAAATATTCTAACATAAATTTGCCGAATATAAGAGGAACATCGTAGTTTGGTTTAAATAAAGCATTTTAGTTTTATTATAATTTAGTTTGTTGCAAGGATTTTAGTTTGAAGAAACAGAAAATGACACCATATGCCAACTGTGC